GGGGGGGGGGGTCTCGGGGTCGAACTGTACACATCTGGATGCAGAGAAAACACAGGAAAAAGAAAGGATGGCGCAGGTCCGGAAGCTAGTACGTCACATATGTGATGCGCAGGGGGTTCCAAAATTATGCGATCTCCTGATTGCATGCCATGGCGGAGAAGGAGAGAGGGGGATGAGAGGATGCATGAGGAACCAAGTGTATCAGGAGAGATAATGTTCGCATCACGCAGATATTGGAGCCAGAGTTCATGTTGACGCCAACGTGAATTGCAATTTCTTCGTGAGTCTGCTGGCTCAAGCTGCTGGAACCGCCAAAGGGCGTCCAGGTAACACCATCATCGTCCTCTGATTCTCCGTGTGCTCTGCACCCTTGCCTTGTTATTGGAAGTCCACCCGACGATAGTCGACAAGGAGGGGATGATGGAGGGGTCGGGGCCAGTCAGATAGGAGCGGAGGGAAATAATCCTCTGCTTCATCACCGAGATCGACGAAATGTACGATCCGGTGTGCGTGGGGGAGACGATGATTGGGTCGAGATAGGGAAAGGAGGTAGTCGGGGTATAAAGAGGGAATAGTGCGGAGGAGGTTATCCCGTAGGGACTCGTAGTCCTCCATAGCAGGAAAGGTGCCAGAAATGACACAGTACAACTCCATGTGGTTGAACTGTGCCCATGCGATACTAAAGAGGAGGATATTGAGAGGGAAGGAGGGGGATTGGTGGGGGACGAGCGTGCAAAGAAGGCAGGCGGCGAAGTGATGGCAGAATGCACGACTGGCGAAGACACGATAGTCCAAGGGGAATTCAAGGTGGGGGAGAGATCGGAAACAGAGGAAGTCAAGAGGGCGGCGGCAGACGGGACGAGGACGGTACGTCCGGGCGGGGAGGAGGACGGGGACGAAGCGCGGAGGGGGCGGAAGCGGCTGGAGAAGGTGAGCGAGGGTGGCGGTGCCGGCGGGAAGTTGGTGCGCCATCGTGCCGGCTAACAGCGTCCGAGGGGACAGTGGGATTCAAGGCCGATCCTCTTTGAGTGAGCGGTGGTTCTTGCGAGGCTTCCCGGGGTTCAGGCGCTGATGCCTCTCCTTCTTCCTGGGAGGTCGACCGGGCTTCTGGCTCCCCCTCCTCTGATAGTCCAGCGATGGCTATGCAACCTGGATCGTCGTCTGATGGCAACTCTTCGTTCTCTCGATGCGCTTGCCAAAACTCGTTGAAGTCGGAATTGTCGGGTGCAAGCTCGTCCAGGTCCAAATAACACCAGGCTGTCGGATCGTGGTCGCTCAAATATTGTCCGTAATCCTCTGTACAGTTTGCCCAGATTACGGTTGGTGTCAACTTCCTTTCCAGAGTTTCAGGTCCCACCTGCTTCGGATCGTTTGGATTGTAGGAGATGATGTCTGTCGGTAGATCATCAGCGAGCTGTGACAAAAAGGTGAGAAGTTCGTAGGCGACCGTGGCTCGTCCTCCCTTGGCGATTTCTCCACACAACAATTCTACCAACGTACCGTTGGTATCAGACTCGTTCGGCCACAGCTGCGCTAGTACCAACGAGATCTCGTGAGAGTGCTTCAGTTCTCGATTGCTATAGTACCGCGACCAGTGGCATCTCACCGTGAGCATACACACACCAAATGTTGCGAACTCAGTCCACTTGCGAATGTGGGCAAAACTGAATGGGAGGGTGGAGGAGGGGTGGATCAACGGAGAAATTTTCCAAAATTAAATAATCATTCTTTAGTAAAATTACAAAATCGAAATTTTAAATTTTCATTCCATCTTAAAAAAATTCATTCCAATTTTAAAGTTTTTCATCTTATTTGCAAACTTTCATTCCAAGAATAGGGTATCCCTTCTGATTTGGACTGCATGCTAAAGATGAAATGAAAGTCTGGATGAGTTCATTAAATATTTTAATTGGACTTTCATTCTAAGTAAAGATTTTCAGTCATAAAAAGGTTAATCCAATCTAAATTAGAAGATATTTGTTGGAGTAGAATGAAAATTTAATTAAAACATTTCAAAAATTCGTCCAAGACTTTCATTCCATCTTGAACAAATAGATGTAGTTGGAAGGGAAAACTCATATTTAGACGGGAACTTATAAAATAAAACTGGAAATTTTAGAATTGGACGAACATTGGAATGATAATTTATAAATATGAAGGATTTTTTTTTTATGGAATGTTTTTTCAACTTTCATTTCTCATGGGAATTTTTCTGTTGATTTCTAGAGTGAGGAGGGGGTTCGCCCAGGATGGCCAGATGATCGGAAGGTCGGAGGGGAGAGAGAAGGTGGAAAAACAATTTATCGACGCTCGGGGTAGGGATGAAGATGGGGGAG